TAGTAGAGACAAGGTTTCGCCATGTTGGCCAGGTTGGTATCAAACTCCTGACCTCAGGTGATCCACTTACCTCAGCCTCCCAAAGTCCCCCTGCTACTTTCTTTTGGTTTTGCCTCCTTTTTTCTAGCCTTGGCCACTCTAGTTCCTCCTTCTTCCCTCTCAGCTCTAATTTCTTCTCTCCCCTTGGTGCTGCATTTTCATGGAGTACCTATCTCCAGGGCACTGCTCTCATTTTATCAACCCTCCCCTTCAAAAACCCGTAATTCTATTTCTGCCCTCTGAGACAAGAGAACAAAACCAACTTCCTTTATTAGAGGACAGATTCTCACCTGGCTCCACATTACCAATCTATTTAACTATTTCTCATGTGATACTGTCCGCAGGCCTCTCACCTCCCTGGCAGGGTAGCATAAGCCAAAGATTCACAGTGGGCGATACAGCCACACTGATCCTTCCAAACTGTGTGGCTGACCAACACCATTCCAGATCTGTCCCGTGACATTGGGGCAACACGCATGCTGAGTCAAATGGAAGAAAGAGGGATAATTCTAGCTTTTGCCCTCTCATACTCAGCTTTACATGTCAATGGGTGTCTTCCAACAAATCCTTTCCTAAATCCTATCACTTATACATTCAACCCTTTCTTACGGAACAATATGAAAAAGACAATTTCCTCTACCTGACAATGTCCTTTACTTATCCTACAAAATGACTCATCTTTCTTTTACTTTTGAACAGCAGAGGCAGAGTCCGGAGAAGCTATGGACATAGGAGAAAGCACAAATATAAACAACCTGAGGCTTCACCTAGGTACACAGAGCGATGTTATGGCTTGGCTTCCAACCATTCAATTTGCCAAAGCTTATGTTTTAGAAGACCAGGAGGTCAGCTCTTCCCATTTCAGCAAATGAAAAAAGCATTGATGTCAACCTTATTCAAACTCTGCAAAAGAGTTTGCGCTCACTTAGGAAAGCACTGACATTATTATTGTGGGATGATGGATCACCCTGGCCCCTCACATCACAACAAAAAAGCATAAGTCACCAAAAGGCCAAATGTCTTGTAAATGCCTGAAACAGCCTGTCAAGGGAGACTTATTGCAGATTACAGAGGGAGCAATGAGATGGAAGCATGCGCAGAGCCGCATAATACGTGTCAATAAAGGCAGAGGCACAGGGAACCGGCAATGACCTGGATCAGCTAAAGGGCTCCACAAATCTTTCATTCTGCCTTACAAATAGGTCTGTTCTATTAGGTTCACTCATAAAAATAATAAATTAAATAAAATGCAGTTCCTGAGGGAGGTGGGATGCAATAAGAGACTATCTTACGAATTTGGCCATCTAGAAAAAGGTATGGATAAAGGGTATTAAAATTGGATCTTATAGAAGGATTTAAGCATTTGGAAAGAAATTGCAATTGCCACATAGAAATTCTACAAGAAAAATAAAGCAATGTACAAGAAAAAAGCAATCAAACAATATGTAAAAAGTTATAATTACATAACGATTGAATGTTGATTTAGCCAAATATTATGACTTAATTATACTGAGTGTACATGAGAGGAGGAATGCACAAAAAGAAGGGATCAGTATCAGAAATCTACTCTGTTATAACAGGAAATCAAAGAACTGTCCAGAAATTTGATAAAGCCAAACAATAAACATAATACTTTTATGAGAGAAAAAACTAATTTTATAAGTAATAAATAAAAATATGAAATCTCCAAGGGACTGAAAGGAACATAACGACAAATTTATAAACATAAACATAAACATAAATTTCATAATTATGGAATTAGTAACTTAGTAAGCATGATACTAAGAGCATAAATCAAAAAGGAAAAGACGAACAGATGTGGCTACATAACAGTTAATCTTCTTGAGTCTCAAACCTGAAAAAGAACTCTAAGTGAAATTAAAAGGATCTGAGAAATTGGGGAAAATAAATGCAACATAGGCGATATATAAAAGGTTAATTTATTTATATATTTATAGAGCTCTTACCAATCAGCAAGAAAAAAAAAATTCTAACAGAAAACTGGGTAAAAATATAAAGAAGAAATGCACATATCAGAAAAAAAAAAAACAGAAAGACATACAAACTGTCGATAATCCAGCTTTAAAAAGTCCAATTTTTCTAATTCAAGAAATATACACAAAAGGACCTGAAAGATGATGACACATCAAGGAAGCAAGAGTAGTGGGTTCTGGATTGGTGGGTTCCTGGATGTTCCCGCCCCCTTGCTTACCTGTATTTTCTGTTTTTCTATTAAGTATATCCTGTATTCATAACTAAAGAATTCATTTATTAAAGAAATATCTCTAGAATGTACTAAAAAGTATTTGAAAAAAAATAAAACATCCCATCACCCTGAGCTAAACACTGTTAGTACATTTCTTTACCATTTTTGTTCTATATATTTTTCAATAAAATTGGACTCATGTACTTCTCACCACTACATGAGCATTTTCTTATGACATTAAAACACTTCAAAATAGAATATTTACATCATGATATTTGATTAAATAGATAGATTAGATATATGACCAGATCCTAAATTGTAACAAATGACAACTTTTTATAACATTTATTTCAAACAAGATTAATTTAAACTTTTTCATACAGGCTTGTGAGAAATGAAATCATCAAAGATTATTTAAAGCCAAGATGGGGACATATGGCTGCTATAATTTGGTATTTTGAGATTAACAAAATAAAAGAAAATGAATCCTTCTCTGTTTAGTAATTATGAGTAGCATGCCTTTAAAGAGTGGAACTAATTTATTTCCATGATTTTTATATCTAAAAATTATTTATGTATGGTCAATTTTTTACTTTACATATTTATGTATTATATTATGTAAGGAATACTCGCCCATGCAGAAAAAAATCAAATAATACAGGTGAATATAAAAGTGCTTTAAGTCAAAATTCTGCATACCCCAAGAATTAGTGTTAATAGAGACTTGCAGTTCTCATATTTTTAGGCATATGCAAACCTTCTATTCTTTATACCCATCAACTTCTCCCCAATGCAAACACACACACAAATGGCATGGTGCTTTGCAACTTACTTTTTCACAGTTAACAATCTATTTTATATATTTTTCTGTATCACCATTTGTAGATATACTTCATGCTCTCAATCAACAGCATAATATCCCATAGATGTAGCAATTTTTAAATCAGCTCACTTAGGTTGCATATAGAATATTTAACATTAAAATCAATTTTAAAACTTTCTCACAATGTATCACAGACCTAAAGTAAACCTTAAAACTATAAAATTTCCTTTTTTGTCATTGTTTTTACTGTATTTGTAGTAAAGACAGGGTTTCATCATGTTGGTCGGGCTGGTCTTGAACTGCTGACCTCTAGTGATCTGCTTGCCTCGGCCTCTCACAGTGCAGAAATTACAGTGGTGAGCAACTGTGCCGGGCCAAAACTGTAAAATTTCTAAAAAATACATGTGACTGTGCCAGGCACGGTGGCTCATGCCTCTAATCCCAGCACTCTGGGAGGCAGAGGCGGGCGGATCACAAGGTCAGAAGATCAAGACCATCCTGGCTAACACGGTGAAACCCCAACTCTACTAAAAATACAAAAAATTAGCCGGGCGTGGTAGTGCACACCTGTAGTCCCAGGTACTCAGGAGGCTGAGACAGGAGAATTGCATGAACCTGGGAGGCGGAGGTTGCAGTGAGCTGAGATCAAGCCACTGCACTCCAGCCTGAATAGCAGAGCAAGACTCATCTCAAAAAAAAAAAAAAAAAAACCTGTGACTGTGGGTTAGGCAAAAATGTCTTAGATACAATATCAAAGGCGTGATTCATAAAAGAAGATACTGATAAATTGGAAGGCATCAAAATTTAAAACTTGCACTCCTCAAACAATATTAAGACAAGGAAAACAAAATCCAAAGACTGGAAGCAAATATTTGAAAAACACATATCTGACAAAGGGCTCATATCCAGAATATACAAAGAAATATCAAGACTCAATAACAGGAAAACAAAATATTTAGACACACATATCACCCAAGATGATGTATGAATGGCAAAAGAGCACATGAAAAGATGTTCAACATCATTACTCCTCAAAAAAAATAAATAAAAACCACAGTGACATACCACTAAGCACCTATTAAAATGAAAAGAGTTATTTTTTTGAAAAACTGACAATCCCAAAGAGTTGGAGAGCAACTGTAATGTTCCTATTGCCAATGACAATGCAAAATCTTCACTTTTCAAAACAGCTTGGCAGTTTCTTATAAAGTTAAACATACACTTACCATAGGACTCCACAATCTCATTCATAAATATTTATATATATATATATCAAATGAAATTTCATAGAAATTTACATATCTCTGAAATGAAAACATATT